CGAGCCGCTGTGTGCTTTCGTCATGACGATGGCGCTGATCGCCAGTGCTGTGCGTGAAGCTCATGGCAGCGGTGGTAAGTGGAGGCGTGGAACGTGCGGCGCACGCCTAGGAGTCGGCCTGTCTGCTGGACAATGAGTGATGGGAGATGGAGGATGGGTGGTGGGTGGTGGGAGATGGGAGATGGGTGGTGTTGGGTGCGTCCCGAGTCTGCTCAATCAAAGGCACACTCGTGACACGAATCACGAATCACGAAGGCGAAGGCGGCTTGGCCGAGAGTGCGCGTAGGGGAAACCAGAGTGTCATTTTACAATCACAGTCGGAGTAAATGAAATGAATCCTGGAATTTTTAATCGCGCATCGTGAATGATTTATGAATCGTCGAGTTGCTTCGCACTCTAACTCAAAAACTCGTACATGACGCACATGAGTTCGAGTCACGCTCAAACTCATGTGCGAAGCGATCGTGAGCCAGAGATTCGGCGTCGAGTAGTCACGTGAGTGACAGGTCGCACACCCCGGAGCCGCGGCAACGTTTCTGGTCTTGAAGTTGGAGTAGTCACGATCGGATATGTCAACGGTCACAAAATTGAAGAGCCTGAAGTGTTGGTGCATGAAGGCATGCCATGCCTCCAGCAGCAGCGTCTCATGAAACATTAAAAAATCCAAAATTCAAACTCATATAGCAGAATCAAGACTCTTGACTGTACTTTTGAGACCACATGCGTGCGGTGCGGTAGACACGGCGCTGATCCCACAAAGGTTAGTAGTGGCCATGGTCTGACCCGCGCATTCCCTGTTCAATATGTCAAGCACCTGGCAGGTCTTGATCGAAGCTACAAATTAGATGATTTCTGACCTCTTCTCGTGGCGGACGTCACTTCCAATCACTGTCATCCGCTGCCACGCCCTCTCTCTTGTATTCCGGCCTACGTGCAGCTGGGAGATTTGGCTCCATTGCTGCTGCCTCTCCCACGATCACGTCTTCAAAACTTCACTCGCACGCTCTCCGCCTGTCCACTCCATAATGCTTCGAGCAGCAACTGCCGCACTCGGCACTCACCGGCATTTATGAAATATTCAGTACGCAACCGCGACAAGGTTGGAAAAGGCAAGGGCGATAGTAGGCAGCACACATGACGTAAGAGACGCTACTACACTCGGCGACGCCTGCCCAAACTTCATCCTTTCTGCGCCTTACGATAAAGGATTGAGGTCTCAATTGTCTGCCCAGCACCGTCTGACCATGGATCTCTAACTTCCCCTCCCACGCTCATCCGCGCTACAGTGCCTCTCCACTGCCAGGATTGGTCAACATCCACAGAGACAACTTCCTGGTCAGCATTCGTCAAAATTTCGCTGCCCAAGCGAGCGTGCTTTGATACCCTCCCGAAGCTCTTTCATTGATGGCAGAAGCGCAGCCGCCGCGACAGCATGCCTTCTTTCCGACTTTTACGCCTCCTGCTTATTCCTTCGTAGCGGCTAAAGCGCTCAATGGCCCCTTCTGAGGCCTATGGCGACTTTTCCGACATCCAGTGTGCGATGCGTTTTGATATCGGTGGCAGACTTCTATTTCAGATCATGTACTGCGTCTTGATGCATGTAGGGATCATAGACTGTAGTCGTCAGAATCACGCTGCGCGTGGTCGCACGCATGTGTGGTTGCGCTGCATCGGCGCGGTGACAGGGTGTGACGTGATATGCCTGCCCATGCCTCTACGTGTTGATCGGTGAATCTACGGGTACACTGGCGAAAATTCGAGTGGCTGAAGTAGCAAGCAAGAGCTCGCACCCGTCAGCTTGCCCGTCAAAGTAGACAGCGTACTGGTTCTCAGCTCTGCTCAGCGAGCGGTGAGATGGAACTCACAGTCCTGCTTTCCCTCCAAGCAAGCCAGTCGCTGCTCTGCGTTGGCAACAGTCCCATGCTAGCG